ACCGACCCACGTAATTTCCTGCTTTGTACAAACAAGCCACAAATAAAGAAAAGGCAGCAAGAGCAGGGTGTCTTCATGTGCAGAGTACTCTGGTATAATTAATTATGGTTGTCCTCTACTTAGGGAAACTGTTAGTTTAGTCCATTTTTGTCATCTGTTGGCCAAATAAGACATATTACTTTATGATATATCCTTAGGATACATGTTTGAAGCTGACTATGCCAATTTGATTAACTACCTGTTAATGTTGGTAATTCCTCCTGAAACCCACAGGTGGGCACAGATCAAAGATGAAATAGGGTTTGGGATCACACGTGATTACTGCAGCATTCTGGCATCTGCCCAGACATGTGGACAGCCTTACAAGTGTAAACAAATTGCGAAAACAAACAGCATGTCGCAGAGAAAAAGCGGATTTGGGTGAAAGAAAGTGTTAACATGTTAAAATCCCCAAAAGGATTCGGAATATACAGGGATACGTTAAATAAAGAGGTCAGGGACCAGCACATGGACAAAATCAGCGTTATAAACGGTTTGGATCCATATGAAAGACCCAAGACTAGGGCACCAGTGACAACTTGTTGCCACTGCAGTTCTGCATAACGGTCAGTAAGCAACAAGGATGGACTCGTAGGCCACCAACAGGTTGGCCACGTCCATGATGACGACACGATCATGAGCCCTATTGGTAAGAGAAATCACTCCACTTTGACTTTATTAGCTCAGAAGACTGGGCACGAAATGGGTCAATATTCAATTCTTATCATCAGCATCAGTGTTGTATTGTAAAAACTGATCAAACACAACTAATAGTGAGTTTTAATTGCATTTCAAGCAACAAGCAAAAATTGATAACCCCCCCTTTCCCCCCAGCAAGATGTCCCCACAATGTGGAAATGTCTACACACTGCAGGTAAAAGTTAAAATGTGTCCACTTAAACATATAAAGACAAGTACACACTTACACACACACCACGCTCATGTTTGTATTCATACACTTTTGGGGACTTTTGAGGCCGAATTATGCCTAACCCATACCCCAAACCGTAACCAATGGGGTTAGTCTCTACCGGTATGTTTACTAGTCTCCTACCCACCCTCGACCTAAAATCTAACCCTCACCCTAAAACCCAACTCTAACCCTAAGGTCCGTGGGTCTGATGCGTGATTACATTAGTCTTTACCGGTATGTTTACTAGTCTCCTACCCACCCTCCGCCTAAAATCTAACCCTCACCCTAAAACCCAACTCTAACCCTAAGGTCTGTGGGTCTGATGCGTGATTACATTAGTCTTTACCGGTATCTTTACTAGTCTCCTACCCACCCTCCGCCTAAAATCTAACCCTCACCCTAAAACCCAATTCTAACCCTAAGGTCCGTGGGTCTAGTACGTGATTACATTAGTCTCTACCGGTATGTTTACTAGTCTCCTACCCACCCTCTGCCTAAAATCTAACCCTCACCCTAAAACCCAACTCTAACCCTAAGGTCCGTGGGTCTAGTACGTGATTACATTAGTCTCTACCGGTATGTTTACTAGTCTCCTACCCACCCTCCGCCTAAAATCTAACCCTCACCCTAAGCTCCAACTCTAACCCTAAGGTCCGTGAGTTTAGTACGTGATTACATTAGTCTCTACCGGTATGTTTATTAGTCTCCTACTCACCCTCCGCCTAAAATCTAACCCTCACCCTAAAACCCAACTCTAACCCTAAGGTCCGTGGGTCTAGTACGTGATTGTATTAGTCTCTACCGGTATGTTTACTAGTCTCCTACCCACCCTCCGCCTAAAATCTAACCCTCACCCTAACCCCCAAATTCCACTACCTCCGCTCCGACACGAACGCCGGAGCAAAATCGGTCCCGTTGTAGTCAATCAGAGCAATTCCACTACTGCGGCCGTGCTCCGGCAGTGTGGCGCCGTGCGCCGCCCTCTGTTCCGGCGTCCGGCAAAAATAGAATCGATCCTATTTTCGCCGGACGCCGGAGCACCTCCGCAGTCAATGGACAGAAATCACAACGGCCCAACAGGAAAAGGAGCAAGCACAACTTCCGTTTTTCACAATAAATCGATAAACAAAAGGCGTTTTTTGTTTCATATGCACAGGTTTAACAGCTTTTAACAACTATCAATGGAGGCTGAACTTTAAATGCACAAAAGTAAGCCATAAATACAGTTTCCACTATCAAAGTAGTCACACTTTGTTGATCCAAACACTGCTGATCTCTACACAAATGATGGGCAGATTAAACAGTTCATGCCGATGCTTCTCCCACACAACGGGTGTTTGGATCTAACTTCCGCGTTTATTGCTCGGACTGTATCGCAAGATCTTGAAAATCCCGCGCATGCCTGTTTGCGCACCTCAGGTCTCCGCACCGGAGCGGAGCCGTTGTAGAGCGCATACCAGTAAAAATTGAGTTCGGAAGCGAGCGGCTGCGGAAGGCAGGGGTGGACCGCAGCGGAGCGGAGCGGAGGTAGTGGAATTTGGGGGTAAGCTCCAACTCTAACCCTAAGGTCCGTGAGTCTAGTACGTGATTACATTAGTCTTTACCGGTATGTTTACTAGTCTCCTACCCACCCTACACCTAAAATTTAACCCTCACCCTAAATCCCAATTCTAACCCTAAGATCCGTGGGTCTAATGCGTGATTGCATTAGTCTCTACCTTTATGTTTACTAGTCCCCTACACGCCCTATACCTAAAATCTAACCCTCACCTTAAAACAGACTTTTGTTAGAAGTGTAGTTGGCACCACACTAGAAACCATTTTGTTCTCTGTCTCACCTCTTTTCTTCTCCCATTCCCTCTCCCACACTTAGGATTGGGAATTGGGGGAGCCAGGTTTAGCCTACTCCAGCTCGGATGTGGTTGAGCGTAACACTACGACACCATGTCTGTTACTTGATCTCTACCAGTTCTTGGTCCACCTTGGTTTTCTCCTCTTTTTCTCTGTTTCTCTATTCTGTTCTTCTTCTCACTTTTTTCTTTATTCTGTCCTTTCATATTTTTCTACTCTGCTCTTCTACTGTTCATTAAGACGAACCAACAACTGGAGGGGGGTTCTAGAGTGACACGCGACGGCCCGTGCATTGCCAGTGACTCCCTATTCAAACTGTTTCGGTTAATCGACTGATTCAGGGGGAACTCACTGAGATTCATCTACTCCATCTACTCCACCTAACTAAAAGTTAATTCACACCATAGCTGTAAAACCAAATTTTAGGGGTTTTTCCTTAGTGGGAACCAGCCAAATATCCCCACATTGCAAGAGAAAAGCAAGAAACTGTCCCCAGAAGGTAATAAATACACCGGGACACACACACACACACACACACACACACACACACACACACACACACACACACACACACACACACACACTTATATGCTTGTGTGGACCCTCCTTTGACCTCCATTTATTTTTTGTTTTTGTGACTGTTTTATGCCTAACCCATGCCCTAACCATAACCAATACTGTTCTATTCCTAACCCTAACCTAAACAAAAGCAAATTCACACCATTTATCTAAAACCACGTTTTAGGGTTCTTTGTCATTGTAGGAGGGTAACTCTGAAGTGCCTTTTTTTCCTCCACCTGACTCAATCCTCATATAAACCCTCTGACCTCTATTAGTATGGTAGCACAACTTGGGTTGCGAATGACCAGAGTCACCAATTCTTGTCATGTGTCTATGTATGTGTGTCTGATCTCAGAACTGTGTGTACTGAAACTCTAATTTCCCTCTGGGATTAATAAAGTATCTTTGAATTTGAATTTGACCAGCGAAATGACCCCACAATGTAAAAATATCCACACACTACAGGTTAAAAGTTCAACTTTTTCCACATAAACCTATAAATACAAGTACACACACACACACACACAGGATCAGGATCTGTCTAAGATGGATCCGGCTGAGGCGAGAGGGTTGTAGTGAGGAAGATCCAGGGTAGGTGGACGGTGGAGAGCGGGCGGCCAGAGGAGGTGAGCGACGCAGACACAGACACAGTTTAGGCAGGCTGGGACTGAGACTAGGATCCAGGACAGGTACTCTGTGAACAGAGAAGGCTGTAATAGAACAAGTCGAAAATTCACAAGAGTTACAGAAAATCTGACTGAGACGGAACGAGGCTGGAGGCTACCCAATGTGAGAGTATCAACCGGCGCTGAAGTGTGGCAACACCACTCCTTAAATCCCCTGGCCTTGCTTATGGGAAAATCTTCCACAGCTGAGACTCTCCGACACGCCCACCTGCAACAAGCTCAGAGGAGCAAAACATGATGAGCCGTAGATGAATACAGAACCGTGACAGAACTGTGACAAGCACTGAGCCTTAAGGATTTCTGAACAAAACTCAACTGGCTATTTGTTAATTAAAATTATTATATTTATTATAACCTACTTTGCCTTAAATGACTGGAGCAAAGTCCCATCTTTGAACATTAAAGGCTTATGATGATTACAATAAATGACTTTTAATATGGCTTTATTGTTTTTGTAGAATAGAATTGTTTAGACCAATAAAAAGTAGTGATGGGAATTCCGGCTCTTTTAAGAGAGCCGGTTCTTTTGGCTCAGCTCACCAAAAAGAGCCGGCTCTTTCAGTTCCCAAGTGGCTCCTCAGATTTTCTGTTGCGTAGAGTACATTTATAACCAAAATAATGCAAAACTATATGTAAAATTATTTACTAATGTAAAAAATTTGCAATATATCAAATATTTATCATTTCTGTGGATTTAATAACTGAACACTTTAAGAAATCTCCACTTTTCGACTGCTGGCGCTCATTTTCTTACCGTCTTTGTCGCACTCTCCTCTCTCTCGCTCGCATGTGCTCTGCTGTGTGTCTGAGTCTGGACCCCCCCCCCCCCCCCCCCCCCCCCCCCCCCCACACACACACACACACACTGCTCTGTGTGTGGACAGTCTGGACACGCAGTTACGCATGTTGACCTGTCTAAAGCCTGTAGCTTTCACCAAAGCAAGAGGGGAGGGGACGGCTCCCAATGACGAGCCGGCTCCCGTCGTTCACTTCAAAGAGCCGACTCTTAGAGCCGGTTCGTACGCGTCCGACACATCACTAATAAAAAGTGAGGTCTGTAAAAATGCCAGTTTCTGTGTTAATGGTTTTACCAGGCAGCCGTTCATCAATAGTAGAAACCGTTAACAGGCCAGATTTTCCCTGAAACACAGGATGCGATTCCAGGTTTCCTGATTCCCTGAACACAATGGTTGCTGTCCTGCAGAGGAAGGAAACCAACAGAAGTTTCCTTTAAAAGAGGAAGGTGCCCCTTTCCTTTCTGGAGGAGAAAACATTTTTGCTGTGAAGGAGGGAAGAGAGAGAGAGTTGGAGCAGACATGCACAACCTGTTTTCCATTCATTTTAGGAGCCAGCTGCAGCACATGAAGGCTAAATAACTCACCGAATCACTTGCTCAGGTAAGATTAAAGACCAGAAGACAGTTTTCAATGTTTTAGGTCACTTTGTTATTTGTGCATTTGTTTATTTTGTCACTATGCTTTCTTGTTGTGGTATATGTTCCTGTTCATGCCTTATTAATCCGTAACTCAGAATCAACCTTTTTTTTTCACGTCTTACTGAGACTGAAAATAGCTGCTTCTGCTCATGAGTGTTATTGAACACCACATATGAGCACTTTAGTTAATTATTTCATGACTATTTACCTGCAGAGTTGGAGCTAAACAACACAGAGTATCACCTGCCTTTGAGAGGCCTGTTTTTCATCTCTTCTTGAAGGATTGAATCAATATTCATGCAAGGATCGTGCAGTTGTAGCCGAAGGTGGAGGTGGATCCTATTCATGTTTCACGCTCTCCACAAGAACACAGAATAATCCAGAGTGTAGACAGGGAAGTAAAAAAAAACACTATTTCTTTTGACAGTTTATCAGTGAAACAGAATCAAGAGTATCTCACAGCCTCAGTGGAGCAGACACACTGGAGTTGTACACCAGGATGTTTCATGAAGGCAGACATTTTTATTTCACCTTTACAGCTTGATTGCAGGTGAAGGCAGAGCTCATCTGCCTGTCCAATGCTCTGAGAGCATCTATTGGAGCATGAAGGTATGTTCAGCAGGGAGGCAGGATTTAGATGATAATGTGGTTTACCCTCAGCACTCTGACATCTTGCACCACATCTGTTATGTGAAGAGAAACCAGATGGTGTCCTTGACTTCTAAAAGAATGGGATAGATTAAGTAGTGTGATAGCTTGTTAAGCCACAACTCACTACAATAAATTGTTTTGATGGAACAACACATAGACTTGACATTTAGAATCTATTTTATTTTACCGATAGGCCTAAAAGTTGCAGTAATAGTAATTTGTGTGATTTCCTTTTACAAACGAATGCACATTCTGCAGACATGTGATCGTTAAAACCAAAAGGACTGTTTGAAACAATTACACGGATCAAAAGAAACCCCTACATTTATTTGTTTGAACATTTTGTGTGATTTCTTTGTGCATTTCATTAGAATGATTATTCTTGAAGTCCTTCTCTTGAGAGGTTGTGCAGGTGCTCACCCGCTGAGCTCAGAATCACTGTAAACTAAAGTGAAGAGAACCAGAGAATGGAGTCAATGTTACAAATGAAGTGGACGGTTTAGACAGCAAGTGATCCCAACAGCTGGTTGAATCTGAAATGTGCCGTAGGAGGTGTTGTGGGTGGCTGTGAGCTGTTCGCCAGGTTTGCATCTCTCCTGACATCAAAGTAGAAATTAGAAACAAAAATACTCCAGCCTGATTTATTTGGTTATTGTTATGTTTATAAATACCTATTGCTGCTATTTGGAAGTGTGCTTCTGTTTCTATTTAATCAATAATTACTGCTGTTATCTGTTGTTCATGGGTTCCTGAACAGCCTCACTTTAGAGAAATAAAGTTTACATCCTACAGCACAGCGAAGACTAAACTGTGTTGCTGCTATGCTGCTGGAAATATCAATCTCAATATCAATAGAGAAAAACAGTTTGAATCCCAATGTGGATTAGCACGATAATCTAATGAACTCTTTTTCTTGATGACCACACCTGGTCTGGATAAAAGTGGAAACACAAAAATACTCAGAAGATGTTACGAGTGATGTGTGTCAACACAAACCAAGCAGTGAGAAAAAGGGATTCATCACAACCAACACTTAAGAACAATGTCACAATGACACATTTTTTCTAAAACTACAGAACCCAAAATGCTGTCTCCCAAATTATATCGTAGTTTATGCAACATTTAAACTGCCATCAGTTTTACATCAGTCGTTTTCTTTGAATTTTGTTATTTACATGCTTAGATATCATCAGCACTTCCAGTGCATCATTAATTAAATTGTACAGGAATTTCTAAATGCAATGCTTGCCCCCCCCCCCCCCCCCCCCCCCAAAAAAAAAAGTCACCACCGGGATTTAACAAAGCAAATAGGTAGGAGCATCCTATTGGATAATTACTGCAAGTAATAGTTGTTCCAACTTATTTAAGCCCAACTGGTGCAATGAGTTGCTTATCATTTCTTAAACAGCCTTGCTGAAAGACACATCTGGTGGTTGTGGAAAAGATGTTAGTCTGTGTGAGAAGGGTCAGATCATTGGCATCAAGCAGAGGAAACATCTGAGGAGATTGTAGAAATGACTAAAACTGGGTTAAGAACTGTCCAACACATTATTAAAACTGGTCTGTTGAGTCCAGATGGAGCCTGTTCCAGAGTGATGGTGCATCAGGGTAAGAAGAGAGGCAGATGAAGTGATGCACCCACCATGCCTAGTGCCTACTGTACAAGCCTGTGGGGGCAGTGCTATGATCTGGGCTTGCTGCAGTTGGTCAGGTCTAGGTTCAGCAACAGGATGTGCTCCAAAAATGAGGTCTGCTGATTACCTATTATACTGAATGACCAGGTTTTTCCATCTTCCCTGATGGCCCAGGCATATTCCAAAATGGCAATGCCAGGATTCATCGGGCTCTGTTAGTAAAAAGAGTTGTTCAGGAAGCATGAGACACCATTTTCACGCATGCATTGGCCACTACAGAGTCCAGACCTTAACTTCATAGAGAATCTTTGTGATGTGCTGGAGTAGGCTTTGTGCAGGGGTCAGACTCTACCATCGTCAATGCAAGATCTTGGTGAAACATTAATGCAACACTGGGTGGAAATAAATCTTGTCATGTTGCAAACACTTATTGAAGAAATGCCACTTTGAATGTGTGCCATAATCAAAGCAAAAGGAGGTCCAACAAAATATTAGTGTGTGTGTTTTTTTTATTTTGGGTGTTGACTTTTTTTTCTTCATAGCCAGGCAGTGTAGTTTGCCAGAATAACAATTTCATTTAAAAAATATTGGAGGTGTAATTTTTTAAATAAACAATGTTTAAAGAACTGCAGTCAAATTTTGGAGATGTAGGCTGATGGTCCACTGAAGTCTTGGCTGCACTCTAGACTAGCTGTTGCACATCCATCCAGTGTGTAAATTCTGTTTTTTTTTTCAAATGAAGGCTGTTCAGAAGAGAGTTAGAGAAAATCCATACCTTTTAACACTAGGGATGCACCGATCAGGTTTTTTGCTGCCGATCACCGATACCGATATCAAAGAATGCTGATCACCGATACCGATCACCGATACCGATCACGTGGATTGGCCAGAAATTTTCTACAACATTATAATGAGTGCTACAAACTAATCTGGGAATAAAAGAAATGTAACCTAATCTAAAATGGTCTGGCTGATCGGTCTGCTTTGATCTATTTTGAAAACTCCGATCAAAACCGATAGGGGCGCTATCGGCCGATTGGGATCAAATGCTGATCCATCGGTGCATCCCTATTTAACACATAACATTCATTTCACAATGGAAAATAAACGTTATGTGAGTTACGTGAATATTGTTTTTAATAGATGAGGGGAAACATACTATCACTGATTGTTTGAGTGTGTTCACACCCCCTTACACCATACCTCTGTATTGCTGTTTACTTGCAGCCTATCATTTAAAATGTGGAATGACCTGAAACTTCACGCTTCTCTGAAGTGTCCTTTTGAATTTCAGGTGTAACAGGGAGCAGCATTAAGGTATTGTTCGGCTGGGGTCTAGTTGAAATGTCAAGAAGAGATCCTTTTGTCTGATGTCCTGACAGGAGAGGAGACAGATTACTGACCCTGAAGGTTCATCAGTATGGAGTTTTCAGTTGTAATCGCAGGAGCTTTCAAGAAAGTGACTGAAAGAGAATATTTTTTCTGCATGGCTACCTCACGTTGAGATCCACACACACACACACACACACACACACACACACACACACACACACACACACACACACACACACACACACACACACACACACACACACACACACACACACACACACACACACACACACACACACACACACACAGAATGCTGCTTGATGTGAGACTAGCAGACTGCACAGATGTGAGCTGGTGTGAAATTCATTTCTTTTGCCTTGACGGCGTGAGTTGATGTCTGTTCCATGTCTGTGCTGTCTCAGTTTAAGAAGATGCGTGCACCAGTGTATGTATGAGTTAGGGCTCTTCCTCTCTCACTGTTTATGCAAGCAGTGGGTTTACTTTGTTAAGGTGCGACCTCATCATCCAGGCTCCATGACACCCCACCTCCCTCCTCAGCAGCAGGAGCAGGCAGCCGCGTTATCACTCACAAACGCAGAAACATGCACACACTTACACGAAGCAGCAGTGGAGAGGTCCACAGAGGGCTGGTGGGACCTTCTCATTCAGATTCCAGACTGTATGGGTCCATCTTTAGCGGCATGTGTTAGTGTGTGCAGAGGAAAGATGAGCAAAGAGGGAGAGAGAACGCGAAGCAGAGGAGGCAAAGGGGAGGGAGGGCAGATCATGCATGTGCATTAACTCAGCCTCAGCGGCACAGCAGCAGCAGCAGCAAACAGAAACAGCAGCAGCACAGGAGGGAAGGAGAGAAAGAGAAAGAAAGGAGAGAGAGAGAATTGGAGGGAGGGTAGCAGTCTTAGCTCTGGAACAAAAGCTGCAGAGAGCCGCTTCCTATCTCAGCTAAAAGAACAACGGAGGTGTAACACAAGGAGGAGGAGGAGGTGGTCATGATAGTGGAGACAATAATCGCAAAGAGGAGGTAGACTGTGATCAGTGAGGACTGAAAGCAAAGCTTTTCTCTTCTCTGCTCTCCATGTTTTTGGGGACTCATCATACCACTGCCTTTGTCTACTCCAAACCCAGAAGAGGATGTCCGTGTCAGGAAAGAAGGAGTTTGACGTGAAACAGATCCTCAGGCTCCGCTGGCGCTGGTTCAGCCATTCATCCCAAGGTTCTGCCGGTGGAGGAGGAGGAGGAGGAGGTGGTGGTGGAGGTGTGGGGGGCTTCATCCAGCAGGATGGCCTGGACCACAGAGGAACTCCTGTCCAAGGACGGCTGAAGAGCCACTCACGGGAAAGAGGTATTGTGGGACCAAGGAAGACCAGCAGCCCGGTCCACAGCGTCATGCCTCAAACGCTGGGGCCAACACCTGTCTACGTCAGGACGGGTCAGCAGTCCTGTTATCCCCTGCCCAGCACCATCCAAGGCCTCCAGGTGAACGAGGAGTCCCCAAAGAGCGTTTCGTCTCCCTGTGCTACAAGGAAAGAGGAAACAAACTCTGGCCAGGAAGATGTGAAAAGCAGCATGGAGGAACCTGCAGAGGTGGAGGCCAGAGAGAGGTAGGACTTTTATCAGCAGTTATAATTTAGGAGGTCAATCCTCAAACATCAGATTAAAAAAGAACATGTTTCTTTCAAAATAAGAGCAGCTGCTAAATTAAAACTTCATCTAACTGAAGAAGACTGTTGCTTCAGGCAGCCTCTCTTGATTAAAAAGTAATCATGTTTTGTTTTGGAGCATAACCTTCCTCTAAAATAATAAAAGAGTTATATAACATGTAGAATCACAGCTAAAATCTGTTGACATTCTCCGAGGCTAAGCTGCTTCGTGATTATTTCACTTTCATCCTAAAGAAAGATCATTTAAATCCGCTGAGACTAAACTACCACTAAAACTACCGTTTTCTACTTTCTCCTGCGTCCACCACCAGCAGACAGCTCGTTCCCGTCGTCCACAGCACGTCAGCTCGGATAAACCAATAAAACATCCTTTTAATTATTTATTGAACTGAAAGCTCGGGCCTCTTCTGTTTGCTTCCTTTCTGTTTGTGGCCCAGATCACACCCTAATTACACCTTCACTCCGTTCCTCCGAGTATTCAACAAGCACACTATAATGCAATCGTTCCATTCAGTTAAAAGCAGATATTACATCACATAACACATCTCGGACCTGCAAAAAGAAATCACATACATGATCTAGTGATCTGCAACTGTCCTCTTTATGAGCTAAAAGCTATCATGGCTAGTGAATAGCACAGAATCCAAATCTCACAAATCCTCACACTGATCTCTCCTAAACCAATTTTCCAATGATAAATCCCGTCTCCCCCTTTTCCTCTCACTGGTTTTCCTCATGATCCTACATCTTCTTCCAGGAAGTAAACAGGTTAGAGATGAATGTGTCAGCGTCAGCCCGTTTGTGTGTTTGCTGTCTGGCTGAACACTAAAAACACACCTCACCTGATAGATGAAAAGACCAGCTCTCCTTTCATCCTACATCTGTGACATTCTGAGGTGACTGGTCCTTAAGCTTTGCTGATTCCCGTGCGCTTTTTGCCTGTGTAGCTGGTGATGAAAAGAACAATGAAAGTAAACCTGTCCCTTTGTTTGGTGCGTCTTTCCAAGCTCTACATACGGTGCAGAACGTGTCAGGGTGGATTGAATGAATGCCACAGGCAGTCGATGGTTGGGCTCCCTGAACTGAGCATGAATTATTCCGAGTTAAGATTCGGCTTTAGATTCAGCTCCACATTCTGCTCTTGGTGTGAGCATAATTGGCAGATTTTGGTGTTTTGGAGTCCCTGTGTGAAAAGTGCATGCATAAAAGATGTGCCTCAAAGTAAAAAATGTGTAGCTCTCTGGCTCCCTGGATCCTTGAGTTCATGTTGGCCATGTTAAAAAAAAAAGCACAGCCAGCATATTTTGACAATTATTCTGAATTATTGAAACAGTTCCGCTCCATTGGATCATGAAACCCATCCCTTGTGCAGCCATTCTGTGTTTTACGTGTATTGATTTATGTATTTAATAATGTTAAGTTATCAGAGTCTTCTTAAGCGTTTAAACCTTTAGCAGTGTGAACAAAATGATAAGTCTGAAACTATAAATGTCAGTTGCACAACTGAGAGGGACTTTAACGCCTCTTTTTGTGAAGCTTTGCCCTGCAAGACTTTTAGAAAAGAGTGCTTTTATAATAAATCCAAACACTGACAAAGACTTGTAATTGAAAACATGCCTAATGAAAACAAAGTTGCTCGTTAACAGGAACTTTAGTATGAGCTCATTTCCAAAGTAGCCTGAAAGAAGCCGGCGACTGCGTGACACATCACGGATGACACGCTCATCTGTTGCTAAGCAGGATGTCACTGAGATATGTACATTTATTTACTCCACCAGCTGGGTGGCCCGATTACGTCTCGCATCATAAATCCTTGACACCTAATTTGTCACAATCTCAAAGGCAGCATCTAGAAATCAGTTCTGGTGGTTGTGGAAAATACAAAAGTTCTGCATGTGGGTGGAAGAAATGTGTCACTCACACCCCTCTGTCACTGGCTTCATTCACAAATTTTCTAAACCAGCTCATCAATTACTTCAATTTATTTAATGCATACAGTTTCTGGCTCCTTATGTTGATATTTCACACTGCTGTCGAACTGAATTAATTATAAAAATCAATGGAAACAGCTCGGCGTGTGTAGAGGAAGCTTTACTGGACTGATGGAACACTTTTCACTAAGCATGAAGATTTTAATGTCAGGATATGAAAAACAGGAAGTTCCTGCTTTAAAACTACTTTACATTTAGAAGATGGAAACAAGACAAAGTGTGATGTAGCTTAGTTTTAACAACCGACATACACTCAGTGTCCACTTTATTAGGAACATCAAGTTAGAACCGGGTCTGTCTACTTTTCATAGATTCAACAACATTTTGGAAACATGCCACGGCGTACGGCTGCTCCTACAGAGCCAGGTTCTGTTGGAGGTCTCTTCATGTCAAGAGGAGTTTTCCTCTCCACTGTCGCTACATGCTTGCTTAGAATGGGCATTGCTGTAAAATCTCTGACACAAGTCAGTGACTTTAGTTAATTTTGTCATCCTTATTAACTAAAATTACTTATTTTCTTTTAATAAGACAAACGTTGTAAGTTATTCTTTCATACCTTCTCACAGTTACGGCTGAAAGCTTCAGTCGTCAGTTTGATAGCGCTCCCAGACCAGCTGATAAGTGACACGACGACAGAAAGTCTGACGCTCTGAGGATGACTGAAGCTTTCAGGCGAAACTGTCAATAGGTATGAAGAAACATCTTTAAAACCGCATTTGTCTTATAAAAAGAAAAAAACTAATTTTAATTCGAGTCAGTGACTCGATGCAATCTGCTGGGTTTCTTACATAGGAAACCTTTAACTTATTGAACTGAACTCAGTGCACTGATATGTAGGTTCAATTGGAATGTTTACTTTCTTAAGTGCCTTGAGACGACTCTGGTTGTGAACTGAAACAACTGAATCGAAACATTCCATACTGACATGGTTGCAACACAATTCCTGCAGATTGGTGAAGTGAATCTCCTGTTCTAACATATTCCAAGGGCTGGATTGAGATTTGATGATCTTGTTTGAATCGTAGCATCGTTTTCCTGATCCTAGCTGAGAGGAGTGACACCAGGCGAGGTCTCCTGCTGCTTTAGTCCATCTGCCTCAAACTTCAACATATTCTGGTTTAGAGATGTTATTCCACAGATCTTGGTTGTAGTGATTAGATATGTGAGCTTCTGTTGGCTTGTTGTCATGTGAATATATGATGGAAAAGGTGTACATAGTAAAGTAGTTGGAGAGTAAGCTGAAGTGTACTCTGTTATAATTATTCCTTCCTGTTAAATCACTTTTACATTTAGATAACCTTCATCACCCTGGCGCGTATCTGCAGAGACTCATAATGAAGTAAACAGGATGTATACGCTGCCTCACTATGTGTCACCTTTGTCTGTGTATATAAATATATATACTCTGCATTTGTTGTGTCCTTGTGACTCTCATCCAAATAACCTCTTCCATGAGTTTGACGGAGAATATATGACAGAAGTTAACCTGAGTGGAATAGAAACCATGACCTCTCCCACATAAACAATAACAGAGACTTGAGTCAGCAGGCTGTTGGTTTGAATGATATCTCAATTCTCTTTCCACCGCCTTGGTGAAGAAATACCACCACCTCCCTCGTTGTCAACAGCAGTAATTCAGACGCTGGTCAAACGCTTCATAAGGCCACGCAGCTCAAATTGGTCTACGTGTGACACATCCGACTTGACAAGCTCTTAAGAGGCCATAAATTGAACAACTCCGTTTATCTTTTGTAATCTTAAACTGGTATTTGACACAGGCTTACAGGTTTCATTAATCTGCAGGTCAGTTTTCTTGCTAAGTTTGCATTCTGTGCTCTAAAGGCCATTTCAAAGCAGAAATGCTTCACAAGTGTGAGGCTGCATGCGGTTCATTGCAAATCATCAGATTGTTTTTAAATGTTGATCATCCAGGATTGTTTCAGCTGATTCAAATGAAATATTCCCTGGCAGAGTTTCCGTTCAATAAATCAATTTTTAGGAGCAGCAAAACTGTTTAAGAACCGCCCCAAAGCAACTTGAGTCAAAGTAAAATTAGGAGATCTGAATGATGCTGCTGAAACGAGAACTAATCTGGTAAATACAAGTTGCAGTCTTCAGATGATGACTTCATTTATAGAGGGGGAAAAATCTAATAAAAACAATCAGTTTTTTTGTGAAATTGAAATTGCCCTTCAACCTAATAACTGGTTGTACCACCCTTGGAGGCAGCAACTGAAATCAAGTGCTCGTGAAAACTGATGAGTCCGTCTTGTCACTGTGGAGGAATGTTGGCCCTACTCTCCTCTTGGGCAGTGGTAGCTCAACAGGTAGAGCGGGTCGACCAGTAATTGGAAGGTTTCTGGTTCGATCCCAGCTCCAGACAGAGAATTCTGCTGTTGTGTCCTTGGGCAAGACACTTAACCCACCTTGCTTGCTGGTGGTGGTCAGAGGGACCGGTTACATTGTAGTTACGTTGTAGCTCATCACCATCAGTGTGAAAGGATGACACTTGTAGGAGTCCTCTGACTCTGAAAGGTGCTGTACAAGTGCAGGTCATTTATCATTTATAATTGCTTTCATTCAGCCATATTGGAGGGTTTTCCAACACAAACTGTCTGTTTGAGTTCAAAGGTCAGACAGCCATTTTCAGGATTTTTGACAGAGAACAGAATTCATAGACACACCATTTATGGCAAGTTGTTCAGCTCCTAATGTAAGAAAGCAGTCCCAGACCATCACACTACCACCACCATGTTGGGCTGTTGGTTTAATGATCTTTTTCTGCAATGCAGTGTAAGGTTTACTCCAAATGGAATGGGCCACACACCTCACAAATAAAGTACACTTGTCTCTCATCAGGACCTTTGTCTGACATGATCATTTTTTTATGAATCTGTAACTAATCTGTGATCAAAAATAACCCCAAAACAAGTAATATCTGATGAAGCAGACCATTTCCCAAGGTACTGCTTGCTCATCTTCTACATCTAGATTGACTGTCTGTACCAAAACATGAAGAAACATTTTTTGTCAGATACAATTTCACATAAAATTCAGCAAAAAAACCTATAAAATCAAAGAGAAATTGTGTAACTAATGATGTAAAGCACAATGTTATGTTTTTTTCTTTCTTTGTAGTAGCTTTGAAATATTGTAGCATTCTGGTTTTCCTTCCATTTTATTATCCGTCTATCCATCCATCCATCCATCCATCCATTTTCCTCCACTTATCCGGGGTCGAGTCTCGGAGGGCAGCAGCCCAAGCCACTTCCCAGCCACTTGGGCCAGCTCCTCTTGGGGAATCCCAAGGTGTTCCCTGGCCAGCCAAGAAACACAGTCCCTCCAGTGTGTCCTGGGTCTTCACTTATGTCTCCTCCTGGTTGAATGTGCCCAGAAAACCTCACCAGGGAGGTGTCCAGAAAACATTCTAACTAGATGGCCCGAGGCACCTCAACTGGCTTCTATTGATGCGGAGGAGCAGCGGATCTACTCCAAGCCCCTCCCAGATGACTGCACTTCTCACCCTATCTCTAAGGTAGAGCCCAGCCACCGTGCAGAGTCATTTCAGTTGCTTGTATCTGTAATCTAATAGATGAGGGTTGGAACATGGATCAACCTGTGAATCAAGAGCTTCGCCTTTGAGCTAAGCTCTCTCTTCAGCACGACAGACCAGTAAAATGCCTACATCACTGCAGACACTGCATCAATCCGCCTATCAATCTTGCACTTCATCTTTGCCTCATTCGTGAGCAAGACGCTGAGATAATTAAATACCTCCGCTTGGGGCAGGACCTCATCCCTGATCCAGAGAAGGCATTCTACCCTTTTTCGTTTCAAGACCATGGTCTTGAATTTAGAGGAGCTGATTCTCATCCCAGCTGCTTCACTCTTGGCTGCAAACTGCTCCAGTTGGAGATCATGGTTTGATGAAGCCAACAGGACCAAACCATCTACAAAACACAGAGACATGATCCCTATGCCTGTAGAAACCCTGTCCATAAAAGTGGTGAACAGGATCGGTGACAAAGGGAGTCCAACTCTCACCAGGAATGAGCCCAACGTACTAACTACATTTTATTATCCATTTTCCAATCTTGCCTTGTTTTGCAGTTTAGCTAAATAGAAAATAAATATCTTAAAATCATCTAATCAAGGTTTCAAATAAAATCAATTAAATATTTATTTAGATAAAAATCAAACTTTGAAATTTCATCATTAGCCTTCTGGATATACTTTAATATCAATACATACAGCAAACACACATCAATACCCACAGCTCCAATACTGCATATCCACTTGTTTACCCAGTATAATCAAATGTTAATAAATTATGGACAATCTTATGATGATGACAGCCTCATACACCATGCAAGTTAACCTGCCAGCAGCAAGGCGCTTTCTGCTTAGATCTGCACATTTTTCACTTACAGAACGCCCCCAAACCCTCTGCATTCACACCCACTCACGTACGTAAGCGCGCGCGCACACACACACACAAACACACACACGCACACACACACACACACACACACACACACACACACACACACACACACACACACACACACACACACACACACACACACACACACACACACACACACACACACACACACACTCATTGACATCATGCCATCTTTAACTGCTTACGTTAACTTTAACGACATTTTGTGTTTGCAGCTCTTTGGAGATTGTGATTATTGCACATTGCAGTAATGGTTGTAGGAAACATACAAGGCCATATTTCATTTCTGCCAATAGCCAAGGCAATTTTTCATCACACTCTTTGACATAAAAGGCCTGCTGACTGCACTTGAAGCGGTTTCACGAGGACGCAGTTCCTGCATGCAGCTGACAGCCTAACTGAAGTTGGTGTAACTGTACGACAATGAGCTTCAGAGGCAATGAAACAAAATGCTGTTGTGAACCCTTTTTAGTGCTCTGAAAAATAACACGAAGAGAGAAAATACATGTTTTGATGCATTTTGAGAATTCATCTAATTTCTCTCTTCCTAGATGGAGTTTTCACAGCAGAGCTTATACGTCCCTCAGCTCAGCGACTTTCACAAGTCAGAAACATAAAGATCTCAGGAAACACATCAACTTGCCACACACTGTAAGAGGTTCCTTAGAAGCTGTTAGATTATCCAACCACCTCGAGCTGTTCAACTGTTATAATCTATTTTGAAAGATATATTTCCCATTTGGGCCATTCAGGCTCAGCTCTCCCTCCAGTAGAAGGATGGCAGCAATTCTGCTTGGGATGAGATTTTCAGCAGCATGTCTGACATTTACAGTCAAGAGATAATCTGAGCTGATGGAGGAACATATTTTATTTTGGAAACAATTTCAACAGCGTGTACATGAGTGTTGACTTTAAATAGCCTGTGAAGATGACATAAGTGTTAAATACAGCATCTTCCTCACTTGCAAAGCATTAAATAAACACTGTTGTTGCTGCATCTCCGAGGCATTTGGGTGAGACGGCTTTAAGAAGGTGTGCGGACCAAACCGTAAGACCCTTTTACTTCTTGGATTAGTTCTTTCTTGTGCCTTATCTTTGAATTTCTCAGTGATTCAAGTTTGTAGCAAGCATCATTCTCTCCACAGCAGCTCCTCTACTGCAAGGTGTTCTGGGGTTTTAGTGCCTTAATAAAACCAGGCTATACTTTTGATGATCCAACCCACCACTAGAAGCAAAACATACACCCCAGAATTTACTGCTCCCCAGAATGTGATACCAAAGCAATTAGTGTCGGAGAGATTGGTAGCCATAAAAATCCTTACAGTGTGCCTCGGAGCCAATAGAAAAGCCATGGATCTTGCTTTTATGGCCCGATTGCTTATTCAGGCTTGTTTGGTGTTCCTTTGCAAGATTCCCGAGTCAGTAGGGAATACCGAGGCAGGGCAATAAATTACTTTTGCATTTAGCATAAAGCTACCCAATAAAGATTAGACTATAGGATGCTGCAACGACTGCGGTGAAACATAAACAGTTCCCAAGGGAGAAATGTTGTTGCTTCTGGCAAAACAACGAAGAAAAGTTCCTCGCTTGACTCAAAACTTTGTTACAGCGTGTTAAACAGAACATCAGTCAGAACCACAGCCCCCTCTCCATCTTCCCTGCGTTAGAAATCTGAGTGAGCCAATCCATCGAGCTGCCAAGCATCACAGTTTGTATTTACAGCTTATTTCAATTCTGTAACTTAGACCAGTTAATGTGGCTTTCATATCAGCACATGAGCAGTAATAAGTAGCGGCGCAAAGTGTTGCTTTAAATAGCTACATTTATTTTTTTTCTTGAGCCATATCAGTCTTCTCACAGCAGAAACACACACACACACGAGACGATTCTCCTGGAGCGGCAGCTCGAGTGTTTACGTAGTCCAACAAACAGCCCTAAATGTCAATGAGCACACGTTCTTCTGTGAAGGACACCAGTGTGACTGGGCTGCATTTCTTGCCACGAGAGTGAGGGATTACTGGGGCGTCTGTAAAACAGCGTGTAATCTAGCAGCCTGTGGGGACGAGGACTCAGTCTCCACACAATGCTGCAAGAGACAGGCTGGTTCACTTGCTAAATCCCTGTTACATGCACATGCACACAAACACATGCACACACAGACACCTAAAAAGGCCTTTCTGTCTGGAAGGCTGCTGCTTACAGGACGGCTTTCTCGTCTCACTGGATGGCAGCACTCACTTATCAGCTTGTGTTTGGAGTTCAGTCCAGAATGGTTTAAATTTCAGCTCGGAGTGGCAAGACAGATACAATTGTTCTGCTGGGAACAAAAGAATGCTTCTTTAGTGTCCTCTGTTGTTCTTCTGCATGCGTGCATCTATTTGCTTCTTGAATAATAAGAGTGAACCCATTTTTTTTGAGTTAATTAAGCTATTTCTTCAACAAACCCGGTTTAACCTTCAGACTTAAGCAGCTCTAAATAAACGACGTATGCTCCATCCGGGCGAGAAATGTTCTGGTGCAGTTAATCACTTCCTGCTTTGTGTCTCGTCTCCCACAGGTTGGTTCTTAGCAATTTCTCCAGAATGAGCACCAACTCCTCCGACGAATTTTTCCAGGCCACAAATCACGCCGAGCAGACGTTCCGTAAAATGGAGACGTACCTGCAGCACAAGCAGCTGTGTGACGTCCTCTTGATAGCGGGGGATCACAAGATACCAGCTCACAGGTTGGTGTTTTCACTTCTGTCTGCTTTCATTTCATTAATTAGTCTTGCAGCTGCTATAGATTAAAGGGTAAAGCAGCTCATCTGTATGAGGTTCATTAATCTGCCAGAGTGGGCGCCGACGCGCCGGTCTGGATCACATTTTGTCAGCTGGATCACTCTAAAAAATAACAAAATGATATTTGAAATTCAAAGCAGGTATCTAAATGTGAGATGACACACCAACTCCATGTTCACTGATTTGTTCCTAAACGTCAACCCTGCTGTGATGTAATTACACCTCTGTCAATCCTCATTACACCTGACACAGAGGAACACTGTGCTCCACTGGATACTTGGGCATCAACATCTCAGAAGACTGTTGAATTGAAGTGGCAGTATTGAACGGATCGCATGATGTCGTCTGAATGCTAAAGGCCATTCTGTTCACTGAGCGCATCTGCTTTAATGCCAATTTGTCATTTTGGTTGTCCAACCAGACACATAAAAATATTTTTTAACTTTCACCTTTGAAAATGTTTTGATCTTTTTCATCCACAAATGTAAAATAATGTACAACAGGTGGTTCAATAAAATTTGTAGCGTATTTTAAAATGTTAAAGACCCAACATACTGTGGTATGTATGGAAGCCCATTCCCACCACTCAAATAAAAAAAAAAATTATTATCTCATAATTATGACTTAGCTATCTCATAATAATGAGATAGCTAAGTCATAATTATGAGATAGCTAAGTCATAATAATGAGATAGCTAAGTCATAATAATGAGATAGTATGTATGACTCATAATAATGAGTCAATGAGGCTCACCTGGATGACTTTGGGAAAAGTTCATTACTCTGTCTGTTACAACATGAAAAATTCTGGAGAGAACAACAGCAGGATCCATTTGCTCAAAATCTATATAAAGAAATCATGGAGAAAGGAGAAGCTGAAGAAAGTCAAACAGTCAAATACACTGTGTTGGAGGACAAAGTATACCGCGTGGTCATGCTTCCACACAAGACCATTTACCAAGTATACATCCCTCCTTTGCTGCATCAACAACTCCTCCATCATTTCCACAAGGACCCTCTGTCTGGTTATTCTGGAAGATACAAGACCTACAAAAGACTACAATCCCTTGTTTACTGGCCAGAAATGAGGCTTGACGTCCAACGTCACGTACGCTGTTGCCAAACATGCCAGTTATGCAAACCAGAGACACGGAAACCAGCTGGACAGCTTCAGCAAACAGAAGTCTGCGAGCCCCGGGAGATGCTCGGTGTCGACCTCATGGGACCTTTTCCCCGCAGTTCTGTTGGGAATGTGTACTTTGTAGTCAGACAAAAATCTGGGTTACAAGGCTTTGTGGCAGATAATCTGAGGAAAGTGAAGCGAAACCAGAAAAAAACATTATGGCAAAGGACGAAGAGATGGAAAGTTTTCTGAAAAGGACCGTGTCTGGATTCGTACCCACCATTTGTCGAAAGGAGATAAAGCCTTTGCAGCAAAACTTGCTCCCAGATGGAGGGGACCTTACAGGGTGGTCCGGAGAATGGGACCTGTTAATTTTGAAGTTGTCCTGGAAGACACTGGAGAGGATCTGAGAGTGGTCCACGTGGCCCAGATGAAGCCCTGCTATCCCACAGCAGAGAAATGGGACAAGCTGCAGAACCGAACAATCCTTAAAATCCTCCAAGAGGATAGTGATGAGGAGGACTTTATCGGCTTCCCTGCCACTTGACCGAATTTTTCTTTATCTATCTTATCTAACTTATCTATTCTTTATTCTCGTAATTCTCATTTTATGTAACAGTTTCTCATTTGGGTTGGTTTAGTTAAAATTATGGGGCGCCAGTCAGGTCTCCCTCCTGACTTATAGGATGATGGTGAGTGTTTAAGAAATTAACTTTGAACCCAGTTTTCCTCTGTCACACCAGGACATATACTTAAAATGATTTTGTATACACCCTCAATTTCTATAAAAAGTGTCGGCAACCAGCAGAATAAAGAATATTGCACAGTGCATGAAGACAAATCAGCAATCTTGTCCTTGATTTTGGTGTAGCTCCATTTTAATTTTCCTTTTTATCTTCTTTTGTCTTTGCCATGGAATAAGGAGTTGACAGGGGTGTCAATGATTCTTCTAGCAGGACACAGGACACAATTCAGAAACAATTCTCCTCTGGAATGATAGGTCAATCCACGCCATCACAGGAAGACGCTCCACATGCTGACTCTTTCTCCAGCACTTTACAACGATTGGAGAAAAAAAACCAGGGGAGACACAGTGTGGCTTTCCTTTTGAAAGGTGAATTTGGGCGTGGCGTACAGGTGCTGAGCATTTGCCATCAAGGCAGAGAGGAGGCAGGAAATGAGCAATGAGGTGCAACATCAGGTTGTCACAACACTATTTTAGGTTTTGTGTGAAAAAAAGTCCAGGACTACAAATGTGCTTCATGAAAGTGACATCATCGAACCAAACATGGAGAAAACTGAGGGAAAATGGCTGTAAGTTCAGCAAACTTCCCACAGGAGGAAAGAACCACCATAAATCTGGTCATTTGGTAAGTAGCAGCTACTTTGGGGAGAGAAGATTATGTGGTGATGTCACATATGCGACGTGCCCATTTCTAGTTTGCAGTCATGCTAATTACAAACTTTTACAATCTAATAAATCTCAAAATACATGACTGGCATGATTGAAACACCCATCAATTAGCCTAGTGAACTAGACCAAATTCTTGCTTTGCAAAGTTTGGTCTAGGAATGCTCCACTGGAACCTCTGCAGCCCCTAACAGCATTCTGGCTGGCCAATCACAGCTCTCTAGAGGGGTTTCAAACACGTAAAGAGCTGTGATTGGTCCATAATAGTGGGCCAATCATACTGCTCTATCTGCTTAGTGAACAAATCACAGAGCTTTATCCGCTTTGTGGGCCAATCAGGGCACTCTATATGCCTGGTGGGTGGGATGATGCAACAGAGTGAAACGAGAGTATGTCACATTCATTGTCCAGTGGAATGCGGAGATCATTTGAAAGACAACGGTAGAACCCGCCCCACAACCGAGAGCCGTCAATGGAGCGTTGCCAGACTAAATAATACATTTATTTAGTCTGGCTTGCCAGGCTACCCATCAATAGTTTTCATTTAAATTTCAGTACAACATATGTGTGATCCAGGGCGTAAGGCAAAGCGGATTAGAAAATAGCGTTTTTAGCCCCATTGACCTGCATTAATTTTTTCATTCTTCCGGGGACCCATGATGCAGATGTGACTTAGGCTCGCTATCCCTTCAGCCTACAGACCTGAAGTCAACAAGAAAGTGACAAACATTGCAGTTCCACCCTCATCCACTAGGGCCTGGCACCAGAAGTGGGCAAATCCACATTCACGCCCATGTTAAAAATGCCATTTTCACCGCAAAAATAAACATGACAGCCAGGTTAAAAAAAACAACAACATTTTAGCTAAATAGAGCTAGTTTACATTCATGACAACTCTGAGGTTTTTTATTTATTTTTTTGTAACTATTCTGTTGAAGTGTAATTTAATACTTAAAATTCAGAATAATTAATGAGCATCAGAGCCACGTGACGTCAGAGCTAGCAGTGGGAACTAGCTCAGAGGAAAGGCCTCAGTCTGAGGCTCAGCTTGTAATTTAACAGTCTCAGTCCATATTAGACCCCCACAGGTGACCAGCATGATTACAGCCTCGCACAGAAGCCTTGGTCCCCAAAGCCCTTTCTTAGCTTCTTGAATTAGCTGAGTTAGCTAGTAGCTACATTGGTTCATTTGTTCCAACCGTAACAACCCCACCCTCAGCTCCACCTCTTTTCCCATTTTTTAATTGTCTGGGCGGTCATATTGGGGGTGGTGGGAACCTCCCATTTTATATCAAAGCATATTATTCCAGCCTATGGAAATGATTAGTTCAGTATATATGTTGATGATTTTGACACACAAAAGATAAATCCCCTTTTCTCCTCCTTCCGTTTTTACAGACTGATAATAGTTCAATGCGGGTTAAGTTAGCGTTCAAGGTAGGCTTGAAGCAAGGCTAATCTATCAGAGGCATCTGTGTCACCCCATGGTGCATGCTGGGAACTGGGGTGCATTCTCTAGGATTGACAGCTTCCTCTTCATTGCTGTAGACTCCAGGGGAGGGACTTGGGGCAAATATAAATAATGACAAATTACCTACTTTGTGTCATAGAACAGGATCAGATAGTCAAATGTAAGCATTTTTAAGTTCCTTTATGTTATGTATCCCAGCTGTAAACAAATACATGTTTCCTACTCATTGACACAAAAAGAATCATCTTATGTAGAAAAATGCTTTACTTATTGTTGTTTTGGTCAAATCTTAAAATCTTGAGTCGTCGTCTGTCCGACCACCTCTGTTAAAACTGTGTGTGTGTGTGTGTGTGTGTGTGTGTGTGTGTGTGTGTGTGTGTGTGTGTGTGTGTGTGTGTGTGTGTGTGTGTGTGTGTGTGTGTGTGTGTGTGTTATATGGTAGTCCATCCGCTTGTTTCCGTTAAAGCTCGTCCATCTCTCTGGGTGTGTCAGTTTCTGGGGGAGCCCATCACCCTTTTGAGGGAGCCAAGCTCCCCACCTCATCTGTATTTTGATTAATGATGACAGCATTTGCTAGCATACATACACAAGCAAAAACATTATAGCCCACCTCTGAGCAGTGGGTGAACCAGTGAAATGTAGAAACAGGTTGTTGCGTCCTTTCATCTGCTGTCTTCAACAGAACTGTTTAAGCCATACAATCAAGCCAGCCAGTGGAATCTGGGCCCCTTTATTGACCATCTGACCATTAGAATAAAGTTGTTTCAGGGTAAAATAATTCATAACTCACTTGCAAGCAGCTTTGTAAAAGACAGAATCAGTACTTTTGACTCGGTGGTCTAAAATAACGTAATGAAACATGAAACAGCTGCTACAAAGAATATTTACTCAGACATTACAGTTTGATAGAATAAACAGCAAAGACATGTTCACATTTGAAGTGCAATGCTACATTTGAAGAACACCGCTCTTGAAGTCATCCAGTAAGTCCCAGAAGAAATATAAAAGAGCATTTTTAATGCATTTTTTTCCCTTTTATGGCAGACTGGTCTTAAGTGCTGTTTCGGACTACTTTGCTGCTATGTTCACCAGCGATGTGAGGGAGGCCAAGCAAGAGGAGATAAAGATGGAGGGAGTGGATCCGGAGGCCCTCAGATCCCTGGTTCATTTTGCCTACACGGGTGAGTGCCTATAAAATAAATTCACTGGCTTTTGTAAGTCAGTATGAGGCCAGGGAACTGATTAAAATGGATCAATAAGGTAATTCAGCACGGTGCTCACAAAGTGGGAAGCTCCCATTTTATCAGACAAATAGCCCACAATACACCCCAAGCATGTGTTTCAATTAGTAAATTCTCTCTTACACTATTAAAAGTGAGAAGTAAACATCACAATGCTGGTATAGAAGTTTTTTTTTATGTGAAAAATAACAAAATTATAAAAAGAAACTTTCCTGTTTGTTGATTTCTCATTTAAATTACTCCCATTCTAGTTTTAGCTAAATAAACTTTTCCATGATCCTGCTGTGCCATTCCAGGTGTCCTTGAGCTGAAAGAGGAGACCATAGAGAGTTTATTGGCAGCGGCATGCCTCCTCCAGCTTTCACAAGTCATCCAGGTCTGCTGCAGCTTCCTCATGAAGCAGCTTCATCCCTCCAACTGCCTGGGAATACGATCCTTCGCAGATGCCCAGGGCTGTGTGGACCTCCTGAATGTGGCTCATAATTACACCATGGTAGGACAGTAAACAGTTATTTACATTGTGATAAGGGTCAATGCTCCTCACTTCTCCTCACAGTGACATCTAGAGCAGAAGCATTAGTAACAAGAGTGTTTCAGTGTCTCTCTGCATGCATTTACATGAAAAGCATTCATACTGAGGTCAAGTAAATTCCATTGTGTAATAAATGGTACTACAGTCATGGCACTTTATTAGTTGTGGAGTTTTATAGTTTTTCTAACTTCAATTGTGCAAGAACAAAAACACATTCCATTGTGTCATTTTTAACAATGACAAGATCAAAATGGAAAAGTTGTGTGTGAAAAGCTGCCTCACATCCCAACAGCTTGTAAATGCACCCTTAGCAGCAACAACGCTCAGTGCTTATTTTCTGTCCGACTTCAGTCTCTTACATCAGTGTGAAAAGATGTCGGACCATTCCTTATTACAACGCTGCGTCAGTTGGTGCAAATATATTCTGATATCTAGTTCTTGGTCGTTTAAAAATGTGTTTTTACTGACCTCTGACCTCAAGATGAACATGCTGGGATGTCCACTCCTTATAAAATAAGTAGTGGTCTTCACTGGTGAACAATCTTCCTCAGCCCCACTTTACACTGGAAGCATCAGCAACAGCAGAAAGTCACTGCGTCAAATCAGAATCCATAGGGGTGATTCAAACCAGTCGTGATGCAGAAATAGTCAGACATGTCCCAGAGGCAGCATGCCACGCCGCTAAAGATAGGATTGAGTTTTATTCTGTTCAATTTCTGCAGTTAACACAGGGCTAGACAGGAAATCACACAGTTTCAGTGTAAACCCCCCAGTAATTTTCTAAATAAAAGCCTATTGCAGCAATACGATTTCATATCTATGTAGATTACATCTATACCTGTGACCTAATGGCTTACTTACTCCCAGTATTGTTCCAGAAGGGCCGCGGTGTGTTTTTCATGGCTCTAATCATGGCAGTGTAGAGAAACAACAAACAGCAATATCAAACGCGATTTCCTTCCTTTTGGTTTAATGGCGGATGGAATAAACAAACTGTAACCTTAGAAGTCTCGAGGGATTTTGTGATCTTGCAAATCCTGTGGTGAGTACGGCAGAGTAGCTGCTCTGTGGCTGAGATTCTCACGGTGAGTACTGGCACGCAGCAAAAGTCGCAAGTAAACTGTTCCACTGCTGCTCCGCGATGCTGATGCTTCCAGTGTGAAGCAGGGGTTATAGGAGAACGATGGACTACAAATTGTTTGGAATTGACCTTTAACCTTTCCCAAATTCAAAAATCTTTTTCTGTCAATATTGGAGTTGTGTTAACATGCACTTGTATGCTCCAGACCATCAAGGGGTGAAAACCTTTGCTTTTACAAAGTGGCCAAGGATCGTTTTATTAAGTGTGTAAAATACAACGGCATGGAAAATCTGTTGGGGTTGGGTTTAGATAATGTTAGACGGTTGGAAATTTTCTTATTATGATATTATTCATGAAAACTAAATTAAAGGAGAGTACATTTTCATTTTAACAGGACTGCATAAGTAATTTTTCAGCTCTTATCTAAAATAAATCAATAATACCAGAATGTTGAGTCACACGGGAATAGAATGTTGATTCTTGGTTATTTATATCTTCTAATTTCAGCAGAGATGATGCGGGTATTTGGATAGAATAGAAATGGAATAATTTCACACTTCTAAATCGTGTCATTTGGTTGTTGCACTGTGAAAACAGATACCATGTTGCTGATCAACACACTGCCAGATATGTGCAGTTTCTGTATATCTCTTTGAGGTAAATTTGTCCTAGATTAGGATTCAGCCCATATTTGTCAGACAGATCATGTTTTACCCCCTGAGTTGTGCAGAAGGGACGGCAGCAAGGCAGGCGTTATCTCCTAAAGGACATCTGCTCACCCAGTGTACGTAGCCTCCGTCCAGGACCAGAAGGTTAATCTAATCATCGAACTGCCCGAGAGGGCCGGCTTCCTGTTGAATCACTTCAGTAATGAGTAGGGAGGGCTGTGGGCTTCCTGGTTACAGCATCCGCGGTGTCCTGAGTGGACTGAGTTGTGTTTGATAAACTTGCACTTCTTCTATCTATAAACTGCAGCTGAGCCACAAACATCCCTTTCCTTTACAATGCCAGCCCTCTGATGATAATAACGTAATAGCAGCACATAGTATTTCTGTTTTTGTGCAAGTCTTTTGCAGATGGGGATTCAAACGGTCTTGGTAAGAGTCCTCCTCATCTTTATACTGAGTAAAGCTACAGTGCTAAACAAGCTAGCTTAAACAGTTTTTCATGCCAAAGTTCTAACACAGTTCTGTATAGCTATAAATATAATTTGGTGATAAAAAAAAGGAATGGAGTGGTTGTCTAAGGAGCTTTGAAAGAAAAGTGTCTGGACTTCTTTTAGTTGCTTGAAGACGTTTCACTTCTCATCCGAGAGGCTTCTTCAGTTCTAAGATCAAATGGTGGCAGTGTTGCCAGATCCAAAATCCCACAATATCGTACAGAGAGGCCTAAATGATCGTTTTTCAGTACAAATTATCGTACATTATAAATTTGATAATAACGTTCTATAAACGACTTCTCATCCCAATATAATATAACAAAGAAGGTGTTTTATATTGCCCTGTTTAATTAAACATCTTTAAAACCAGTAATATAATGCCTATAAACGTGCAGAGTGTGTCGGCACCACTCCGACCTCCACGCTTTGACACAGTATGCACATTTGCGCAGTCCTATTTATTTCATTTCTACATAGGTTAAACGCACGCAACAAAGCATCACAGCAGTGGAAAAACTGACCCAATAAATGACAAAGCAGCCTACTCACCTAGTTGCTGATCTCTATCTCCTCATCTGATTCACTGTCTGTCGCAGCAGAATGCCTTTAATCACCTGTGTTACTAGATGCAATGTGAAATTATCGTACATTTGAGGATTTTTGGAACTACTGATCGTACATCGTACAGAGCCCAAAATTATGGTACAAGTACGATAATTATCGTACATCTGGCAACACTGAATGGTGGAGAGTCCCAGATTTAAACCCAGTGGGAGTTTCCCCCGAAGAGGGAACAAAAGACCCCCTGATGATCTTCTACATAAACACATGAGCCAAGGTGTGAGGGTGGGTGTGGGTCCTATTCAGCCAGAGTTTCGGGTGAGCTCATTGTGAAGCCTGGCCCCACCCTATCATGTGAATTCCTGAGGTCAGATGGCCCAGGATATGCGTGGGCGTTGAGGCATCTGAGAAGGGATCTCAAAACTGGATTATAGATGGCAGACAGTTGGTGTCGCAAACCACCGCCTCTGTTCAAAGATGGTTGCTCACAGTGGACATAAATGGCTTCCTTTACTCCTCTTTCAAACCATCTGTCCTCTCTGTCCAAAATGTGAACGTTGGCGTCCTCGAAAGAGTGACCTTTGTCCTTTAGACGCAAATGAACTGCTGAGTCCTGTCCCGTGGAGGTGGCTCTTCTATGTTGTGCCATGCGCTTGTGAAGCGGCACACTTCTGCACTTCCCTGGGTCATCCATTCATTACACACTAACATATTTAGCAACGCAACTTGGTGTGAGAGGTTCTCAGCTCAGTGATGTCAAAAAAGGAGAAACAGCCAGGTGCCACCACTTCAACTTTAGGACAAACTATCAGAGTCCTGTAGCAAAGGCATGGGTGGTCTTCTTCAAATCAGCCTAACCCTAACCCATGAAAATGCACTGAAGAAAGGCTCCCCTGGGGCAGACTCTTTGACATCAGCAGACTTTGTTGATGAGCTCACATCTGTACAGGTTTGATGCATCAGAAACCAGGAGGAATTCATTCAAGTAGAATTACCCCAAGCTTTTATATTTACTTTGGGTAGCACATTTCCACTCCTCTACAGTATTAGGAGGAGTCTCATCAGAGTGGACTGATCAACCCATGCCACATTATCTTTAAGTAGCTGAAGGTCTTTTTCTTCCATATCTTAAATAGATATGCATGTTGGACTTTTGGACTGTAGCTCAAGAACGGCAATCCTGTTCCCAAATGTTTTAGCTGTTTCCCTGCTTCAAAACGCCTACTTTTAATCAGTGGGTGATTAACAGGCTTCTGCAGAGCCTGATGAGCTGCTGAACAGGTGATTCAACCACTGACCCAAGTGTGGTGAAGCAGAGGAACCACTAAAACTTGCTCGAGGACTGGAGTCGCCCACTCCTGTAGCTTCATTGGCACCGTTAAAAAATGCTAAAATGTTTTGTTTTAGAATACTGACAGTAAATGAATTACCTTTCATCTGTCAGATCCTGTTTTCCCAACAGCCATCTACACCTCTTGAACAGTCTTCAAAAACTCAGTTTGACGCAGTTTTTCTGTCGATGATGCACAGCCGGTGACTGTAACACACTGATACAAGAGCTGGATGAACTTTCCACCTCAGCTTCACCATAGAGATCAATAGATGTTCCTCATTTCATTTAAGCTCTTTGTGTTAAACTCTTAAAGCCTCTCATAAAGATTAGACCAAGACACTGTAATTTGTTACAGGCTAATGATCAATAACTTGGTTACTTTTTTAATAAAAGCATTCACCCTCTACAGAGATCACTGCAGCAACTTGGTAATTTAAGCTCAGCTGCAAAATCCAAAGAGTAAACAAGGCAAAAGATTGGGCAGCCTGTGTTTTGAGTGTTTAAATGTTGGACACAGTATAGATCTGTAGAGGAGGGAGGGGGGTTTATACAGTACATCATCTCTAATGGAAGTGCCCAGAGACAAAGACCTTGAAGATGTATCCATGCAGTGCTGTCATACCGGCTGGGCTTCTGGCCAATGAATGGAAGATTAATCTTTAGAGAAGCAATAGAAAACATCTTCCACAGAGCTCAGAGATGGACACACTGTTCGTGGGATTGTAATCGTCTGCATGGACCTCCTGCTTCTCATTAAAACGGCTCATCGAGGCTTAAAGGTATCATGTATGATTATCAGGTACATAATAGCCTTATTAGCTTCAGGAGAGGCTTCTTTTCAGAATGTTTAACGCCAGACTGATTTGTATTTACTTATTTGGATCTGTTTAGAAAAAATAAGAACAATTAAATCATTTTTTTAAAATAAGCAGCACATTTTTTCTGTCCTGGAAGACAGGGACTAAATACCCACCTTGTGTTAATCTTTCTTCACTTCCCTGTCCTTGTGCCACTTGGTTCACACACACACACACACACGCACGCACGCACGCACGCACACACACACACACACACTGCTGCACCGAGCATACTTCCTCGGCTAATAACTGATGATTATCTGTCTCCTCTCTGTTCCAGGAACACTTCCTGGAGGTCATTCAGAACCAGGAGTTTCTTCTGCTCCCCACAGCAGAGATTGTTAAGCTGCTCTCCAGCGATGACATCAACGTTCCCGATGAAGAAACTATTTTTCAAGCTTTGATGATGTGGGTGAGATACGATGTCCAGCATCGACAAAAGGACCTTGGAGTGCTTCTCGCTTACATCCGCCTGCCCCTTCTTCCCCCGCAGGTGAGAGAACAGTGGAAGCATTTAATAAAGCCACATATCCAGTGTTGTTTCTGCAACCTGCTTCACCTCTACATTATGAATCTGCAGCCTTTTACAGCTTAATTACTTAGTTTAAACTTTACGTAAGTGACCAAAGTTTACAATTTCATTCATTCAGAAAAAAAGCATAAAAACAATTATTTATTTTAACTGTGAAGTTTCCTCCTATAACTAATTATATGTGTATTTTAATTTTTCATGTAATAATTTTTAAAACGACAACACCCACAGCACAATGAGACAGCTTTTAAAAATTAGAAGCAAAAAAGAGTGGAAAAAAAAGAAAGAAAGTGGAAAAAGTGATCTAACACACAAGTTATTTATTCCACTGGCTTGGGAGAGGCTGTTTTCTGTGAGCAAATAAACAACAGAAATGAATCAATGTTCTTGTCAAAGCTGGAGCTGTTTTTCTTTTTAAATGCTGTGGCCGAGTAGGAAAATACTCGCAGGCATCACAAAACAGATCCATTAACTCATGAATATGAAAATGTTCAAGAAAACCACATTTTCAAAAGAGACTTTTTGCCGATTCAGAATTTTTGTGGATTCTTTTAAAAACACTAAAACTACATTACATATGTTTCTGTTTGTTTACCAACATCTTGGTCTCCCAAAGTAAAACAGTGAAATAAGCACAGATTGGCCTAATTTGTGTGCACATAAACTAATTTTTTAAAATAAATTTCATGGCACTGAATTTATTTTCCGCTGATTTTTTTTGTCTTTTCCAGTTTAAATATTTCAGTATTAGTGCAAGTCCAAAATGTAAAAAGTAAACTGGTATTTAAGTTTAATTCCAACATAGTATAGTTGTGGCGCCAGATACCATCAAACCAAATCACGCTGCTGTCCACAGTTGGGTATGGTGAAAAACGACATGTTCCAGAACACAGGGTGAAGGTCTGAAACTGCTCCTGTCCTTTTATGGTGTGAATACATTTCAATACAGTCAGAAAAAGAAGTCTGTTGGTTATAAAAATGCCCTTTTCTAGGTTTGCATCAAAACCAGTTTGATTCAACACCTCGTCCTGATCATGAGCAGGAAGGGGTGGAGGTGGGGGTGGTTTGGAGGGGGTAACAGAGGGGAGAAGAACTCCTGTTGAGCAGGAAAAGATGACCAGCAGATTCAGACTCAGGAAGGGCGTCGGGTTGCCGCGATAGAACAGGAAAAGAGGCAGACGAACACTTGAGCACTGAGACAGCCCAGGTCACGATCAGCGACAAACAGAAATAAAAGGATTTATGTGCATAAGTGTAAAAAACACCAAATGAATTAAACACTTGATATTAAAAACCGGTGAGCATCACACGGCCTTGTGAAGTCTAACCACTTGTCCATTTTTGACTGCATATTTTAATTAGTAACCATAAAAAATTGGTAAAAGTGTTGCAAATGTTTAGAGACAACTTTATTATTCTGTTTTTTGCTTCTATGTGGCTACAGTTTTATTGTAATCTCCTGAAGTAGGCTTGGACAGTCATTGTTCAAGTTTTCCCAAACATTTTTGAAATATTTTATTTTGGACATTAATGGATTAAAAAGCACATTATTATTATATTAGTAGTAGTAGTATATTATTTTATTATTATTTTATTTTTATATGTTTGTTTATTTTTACATAAGAACATTTGTGAAGTTAGCATCGAAAAACAAATATGCCAGACCTAAAAATGTAGAGCAGATGAAGGTTTTTGGACCTGAGTTTTTTCAGCTGATCATCTGTGGTGTTACTGTTCCTCTAACAGACACTAATGTTGTCACTTTGTGTTGCCGACACACTTTTATGTATCAAAACGTTCTTTGCTGCCATATTTCATCAGTTCAACTAAGCACCTCCAGATAAGGCATGCTTTTGTCACAGTTCATCTGAATTAGCTAGTTTGGGTAAAAAAAAAAACTTTTTATGGCATTTTTGAAAATTGACATTACAGATCTCCTAACATTATTTATATGTGCTCTAGGCTGAATCAACCCTCGGTAGCGTGCCTAGTGTCACATATTCGCTGATTACATCAAATACTATATTAAAATATTGTTTCTATGTCCTTGTTCTAAATGCAGATACCAGTTTACCTCAGCAGGTGGCAGAGTTATACCTTCTCCTCCTTCAAACAGGTGGATGGATTTCCCATCCATCCATTGTCTAACCCACTTCGTCCATGTAGGGTTGCGGGGGGTGGGGGTTGGGTGGTCTGGTGCCTATCTCCAGCGGTCAACGGGCAATCAGGCGGGGTACACCCTGGACAGACAGCCAGTCCATTGCAGGGCAACACAGAGACACACAGGACAAGCAATCATGCACACACACACACACACACACACACACACACACACACACACACACACACACACACACACACACACACACACACACACACACACACACACACACACACACACACACACACACACACCTAAGGACAATTTAGACAGACCAATCAACCTGTGACTGTGGGAGGAAGCCGGAGTACCCGGAGAGAACCCACGCATGCACAGAGAGAACATGCAAACTCCATGCAGAAAGATCCCAGGCCGGGAAGCGAACCCAGGACCTTCTTGCTGCAAGGCAACATCTCTAACCACTGTGCCACTGTGCAGCCCGCAGAGTTATACTATTTATTTAAATTTAATCTGACCTGTTTTATTCATAAACCATGACTGTTTAGACCCTTCCCCACTCTGATGTATGCACAGCCTATAAACCATTTATCTTACTGTAATAAACTGAAACAAAGGCTGGACATCCATATTTGAGAGATGACTAAGAGAGTCTAAATAAAGAGAAAGCAGGAAAAGGTGTTTGGGAGGACCGGTGTTACTGAAGATAGGAGGAAGTCCAGCAGCTAAGGATGCCACAAGTGTGTGTGTGTGTGTGTGTGTGTGTGTGTGTGTGTGTGTGTGTGTGTGTGTGTATGGGGGTGGGGGGCGGGGGTGGGGTTGAATTTAATTTTTTTACCACTGTTGTTTGGTGTGCGGGGTATAATCTGGTATAGTTCATAATTCTATTATCTTATCATCCTAAACAATGCACTCTGCAGCTTCTTGCGGATCTGGAAAACAACAAGATGTTCTCCAATGACCTTGAATGTCAGAAGCTACTGATGGAGGCCATGAAATACCATCTGCTGCCTGAACGGCGCCCCATGTTCCAGAGCCCGAGAACAAAACCCAGGAAGTCTACAGTGGGAGCACTTTATGCCGTAGGGGGGATGGATGCTACCAAAGGTATCTGTCCAATAATTCTGGTGGCCTGACAGCTGCTCAATTTAAAGGTGTGGTTAACAGAAAAAAACTGTTTTAATTATAATTTATGATTATAATCGACTGAACATGAAAATAGTCTCCTACACCTACCTCATGTGTTAGCATCTGACAGAAAATAGATGGTGAAACTCTTGGATCTGAAAATCCTCACATATCTCTGTCACAGCGTGAATTTGCATTCATGGCCTCACCTATCTTGGTACACACCCGCCCACAGGAAGGCTTTTTAAAAAATGTTTGCGGTGATGAGAGAGTAGAGAGTGTCTTGGTGATGGTGACTTTGCAACAAGGCTGGATACGTTCTGTTAGCCAATCAGAAGCAAGAAGTGTTCATATAATTAAGAATAATGAGTAATCCTGCTGTTTTCAGCCCACCTCTGCACCAACAAACGTCTGCATCTCAGAAAAGGAGCATCATAGTCTTTTGTTTTTAAATGGTTCATTAGGCATTGATTTACACTAGAGAACGCTACAAATGTATTGAATAAACAAGTTAACCACACCTTTAAATCCTTATAAGTTTTATGCCAATGATTCCAGGTTCAACCACCATCGAGAAGTACGACTTACGGACCAACACCTGGGTGCAGGTTGGAGTCATGAACGGTCGGCGGCTACAGTTTGGTGTGGCGGTGATAGACAACAAGCTGTATGTGGTCGGAGGGAGGGACGGACTCAAGACGTCCAACATGGTGGAATGCTACAATCCGCTCACCAAAGTCTGGTCCACCATGCCACCGATGTCCACACACAGACATGGACTTGGTGGGTGTTGGGGCCAGATAAGTCATTTTTGATTTAGTCCAAAAATAGTGCTGTCTTATAATTCTGTCTGTGCACTGTGAAATCAGGGCAAATGATACTCAGATTCCTTTGTTTAGTTTTTAAAATAGCTATGAATCGTTGATAATTGCAGGAAGTCGTTTGCGAGGGTGAGAAATTGTGTGCTGTGTGAAAAAGAGCAAAAATCCCCCAGACTTCTGCTCTCCTATCAAAACCTGGAAAGCTGCACTGGCCCTTCGCTCCTTATCATCCCCTGCCCGACACATCTCATATCAGGAAGCGTTTTGAGTCAGAGTTGAAACAGGTCCTGCTAACAGAACAGGCAGATCTTGTCAAAGCATTCAGCTCCCTCACCCGGTGGGGTGGGAGGTATCAGCGAGCCCCGGAGAGCACGCTGCACAGATTACCGCTGCCGTCTTTGATCTTTTCCTACAGCGAATGTTTCTTACTGCTGTGCTTATTGTGTGCATATTTTTAGTCGGAATGTATTTGAACGTAGTCTCTGCAAGCGTCCCTGCATGGCCGTTCCCCGCCGTGCACGTCGTGGGTGAAGACAAGAACGAGTTTGTGATTCATTATGAAAGCACCGAGTTTCAGGAGAATGCACCTTCATTATGAGAATAGTTTTGTCAGTTCTGAATGTCCTTGAACTTCACCGAATGCAGTTGCGCCCTCATGTTCCCTAGAAATAATTGAAGTCTGCCTGAGGGGAATAAAGGTTGTACAATAGAAATCCAGTGTGTGTAGAGATCCCCCACCCTGTTGCTGGTGGAGATCACTTTCCTCTACGAGTCTGAAATGAGGAACAACAATGGTGTTTTATAGTCTTCCTGTCTGGCAAAGGGACTTGGCTTTAAGACAAATGCATGAAAACCCTGCATGATTAGTGGCAGGGGCGGATTTAGGACTGAAGAAGATCCGGGGCTTAACACAAACACGCGCACACACTCATGCGCGCGCACACACACGTGACACGCACTAGTCAACATCATATATATTTGTCTTGTACCACATAATTTTTAATCTGAAGCTACATATTATGCATTTTCAGGGCAGAGTATTGTTCCTGTTAGTGTTTAGTGTGAGATGATAGTAAATATTCCCTTTCTTTCTCCAACAACTTCACCTGATAAGCTAACTTTAGGCAAACCAGCAGCACAACAAATATTTTCAAATAAGACTCACAAACCTGAGTCAACACCAGTCTCATCAAAGCTGGGGTTCTGTCGTTGTACTTTTTGTCTAAAAAACGTCCTTATGTCCATCTTCACTCATGCGTTTCAGGCAGAGAGTGTAGAAGAAGCCGGCTGCTGAAGGGCTTCTTCTTCAATGGTGGAGGCTCAGGCAGGCTGTGTACAAACTACTGCCAGCTGCTCCCTCTCTGTTGGACTTTGGTACTGCATGTCACTTCCGCGATTTAGATCCGGGGCTTTTCATAAAACATCCGGGGCTTCAGCCCAAGTAGCCGGGCCTAACGCCGCCCCTGATTAGTGGTAACGTTTGGCTGAAATTAAATAACTAAACACTAAAAACCTGACATCACGTCATCAAGAATCAAAAACATGTTTTCGTCTGCTGCCAGCAAAGAAATATGCAAACCTCAAGCACTCCTTACTGATGCCTTGCCTTTTCCCCTCCTTCTTTTAAATTATTTTTAAAACATGTGTCTTTTGTTTTTACTTTGGAAATTGAAAAACCTTTTAATGAGCACAAAAGTTGATTTTTCCATTACTAAACTTCACTAGTTTTGTTTTACTTAGAGAATACTTATCTAAAAATGTACCTTTCTTTTTAAAAAATATTAATGGTATCTCTTTTAGGCATCGCTGTGCTTGAGGGCCCTATGTATGCTGTAGGAGGCCACGATGGCTGGAGCTACCTGAACACTGTGGAGCGCTGGGACCCTCAGGCTCGGCAGTGGAACTATGTAGCCAGCATGTCGACTCCACGGAGCACCATGGGGGTGACTGCCCTCAACGGAAAGTATGTTCCTGTGAAGAACCTCGACATTAATGATGAAGCATTTTATTATTTACTGCTTGAAATTGAATGAAGATTGAACTCTAAGTGTTTAGGTGCACCAAGAAAGCAGGCAAATTAGCAGATCATTTAATAATTTAGGTATTTGGTAAAAAATTTTTAAAAATAATATTTTTGTGTTTGTGGACCAGGATTCATTGGGGTTATTTTTTCACACAGTGTCCTAATTCTTTTTAGAATTGTTTATATTTTCTCCTCGTCTGTAACTTGGTCACAAACCCTTCAAAGTCTCATGGGAACTTATGTGAGCGATGGGTTCCAGACACAAAACCTCTGATTATGTTGAAAGAAAATTAGTTTCTGTAAATTATTAAAAATTTGCTGCATTGCAAGAAAATGCAAAACTTGTGAACAGTGAGAGAAAATCTGGAAATTCACTTGCAAATGCCATCTGCAATTTGCCACACAAATGCTAAAAGTCCCCTTGCTGTTGAACACATCTTTGTTTTACTGAATTATTTATCTTCTGATATGTTTCACTTAACAGATTTGACTCTAGTGTGAAATATCTCCGTTTTTACTCTATTCCTATTTCATCTGACATATCAGGGTTTATTTCCCACAGAGCTTCAAAGCCTCAATCAAAGCTAAACAAACAAAGCTGCCATATTACCACAGGATAAATGTGTTCGCATGATGACGTTCACACATAAAGAACAAGAAATAGAAAAAGAAACTGAAACATTTAATCACTGGAAGTTTGGTTTTAACAGCATAGAATAGTTACCAGGACGGTTGTGTACCTTAAATAGCAGAACACCAAGAAGACAAAACCTCAGCTGCTGTACGTGTGATATAAACTAGATTGTCCAGTAGTTTCCAGCTCAGAAGAAAGGCTACTCTGACAGCACAATCACACGGTTTAATCTAGACTCTTCATATAGCTGTGTGTGTTGGATGTGCCACAAAAGCATTTGTTAGTTGAGTACAGAGCTCTGAGATCTACTACTAGCTTAGGAGAAGGAGAAATCATGTGTGCTGCTGCCTTAGTAAGCTTTTCTTTCTTTTCTCAGACTGTTTGCAGTTGGTGGACGAGATGGAAGCTCATGTCTGAGGTCTATGGAATGTTTCGATCCTCACACCAACAAGTGGAGCATGTGTGCACCCATGTCCAAGAGGAGAGGAGGGGTGGGCGTGGCCACGTACAACAACTTCCTGTACGCTGTGGGCGGACATGACGCCCCAGCTTCCAACCACTGCTCCAGACTCTCTGATTGTGTTGAGAGGTCAGTAAAAAAAGCTTCTGTCAGTAGAACTTATTTTCACACCATAGAAGGACAGGAGCAGTTTCAGACCTTCACCTTTTTGCTGCGTTCTGGAACAATATGCAGCTACAGCTGTCGTTTTTCACCATACCCAGCTGTAGACAGCAGTGTCGTTTGGTTTGATGGTGTCTGGCGCCATCTTGTGGCCACAATGGTACTTCAAACTGAACTTTATTTCTTAAATAACTTTAAAAAACAACTTTTTACTTCCAAGATATCAGAGACAAACCAGACAATATTTTATTTAGACTTATGCACATTTATTATCTCCTCTCTCCAGTACAACCTGCTGTGTGTAAACCGGTCTTCACAAAGTTACTGCAGCCCTGAAACTTTATCCCTAATTCAACTCAACCTTGGTGTTTATGTATCGGCCTGGCAATTTCACACAAACCTTACACTTTTAAATTTGCATAGTTCAAGGTTAAACTGTTTGGTCTGGAGAGTTTCATTTAGCTAAATCAATGCGTGATTATAAGAATGTTAAACCAATGTCTGCATGCAGTCATTGGTTTCAGCCAAAGCAACACTTCTTTATTTGAATGCTTTAATAAACTCAAATAATTTCCACCCAATCAGATATTTTTTTAAATTCAAATATTGTATACTTTTCTTCATTATGTAACTATGGAAAATGAGAAAATCCTGTCTTGACTATGTAGAAAATTGATGTAAATGAACTCCTTTATTTCACTCATCTAACTTCACAGAAATTAATGTATAACCCACTACCATAAACTGAGACAAAGATCAACAAAAATAAAATACAATATTTGAGTGAAATGATGTGGGATGAAGGACGTTATTCTATAACCGGCTCCTGTCTTCATTCTAAAACAAGGGTGTCAAACTCAAACTCACACGGGGCCGAAATGAGACTCTGGGACGGAGTCGAGGGCCAAACTTAATATTTTTTGAAAAAGTGATGGCAAATTTGCACATTTTCTTTATCAACATATATGCAATTTTGAACCTTTAAATTTGGAAACAAACTTATTTCTGCATTAACACTGAATGTGGAATAACCAAATTACACACGAGCAAGTCAGTTTTAAATAAAAGGCATCAGTGGTATTCATTACTTGTGGTATAATCAGCATTTTTTAAATCTATTGAGGATTTATGTTTTCTTGTTTATTCATTTTTCTTATTTTTATTCTCCTTTTTTTCTCCTGTAATAAGTGTCATCGCTGCTGTGACATCTAGCTTTCCCCACTGAGGAACAATAAAGGGATTTTCTACTCTATTCTTCTATCTGCAGCCTTTCCACTTCCTGTTTACTGTAGGTTAAATCTTTTCTCACGGGCCAACAACAAAATAAAAATATCATTTTATCTTAAAATGCAACATCTCACCTGTTAACGTTCATGTTTTAGAGCAGAAAACGAGCATAAAACCAACATATTTAAAGCTCAGTTTGCTCCACTGGTTTACTGTGATGCTCACCTGTTCCAGCCAGATACCTGCATCATGGGGTTGATCTGAGCTGAGGAGGAGACTCCTGTTGTTTTGTTCATCTTCATCATAATAATGACAACATTAGATGACAACAGGTGCTCACATAGGTTTGTGCTGATGAACATGTCTGAGCAGCTTGACCACGTTGTTGTGTGTCGGGGAGGAAACACAACGACAGCAGCCACAGAGTCGTGCTGGTTTGAGCGTGTCGCTGCTCGCTGGAGTTATATCAGCTCTGTCTGGACGTTAGTTGGAAAACTTTCTCTTTAAGTCGTGAACACATTACTGAGCGGCTAAAATCTCCGTTTCTGGGCTTCAACGTCAGAAAACAGCTGAGTGAACTTGGCGCTGAGTGAGAGGAGTGTAGTTTGTCCGAGACAGCGGAGCTGCACACCGGCCGCAGGCGCTGGAAAAAACACAAAGGAGAGGGTGCGTCGGCTCTGCGCTGACGCCGCAAAGCATCATGGGAGTTGAAGTCTTTGCGGTAAAATCGGCCAGCAGGCCAGTTTTAATATATTTTTATATTTATCTTGCGGGCCACATAAAAATGCTCCGTGGGCTGCATCTGGCCCGCGGGCCTTGAGTCTGACATATGTGTTCTAAAACAACTGCAAGTAAAACCTGATAATTTTCAACAATGTTATTAGGTTTAGGAATCCCTCAATTACTACAACCTCAGTTTCTCTTGATAAAGTCCCTTAAATGGATTGATTTTTCTAGTTATTATCCAGAACATTCCATGATTTAACTCTTCATTATGGGTTGGTGAAGGTTCTCACTCACCCAGGTCGTGGTGATCCAAATGGTCCAAATGAAGGCAACTGAACTTGTTTGGTTTCTTGAAGATGTGTCGCTTCTCATCCAAGGAGCTTTGTTAAATCTGACTGGAATATGGGAGAGTCGAGTTTATAAGCTGTAGCTGCATATTGTTGCTTAACGAGCAGAAACTACCTATGAATATCCCTCATCCCTATCCCCTAAGATGTGATTGAGGTTGTTGGGCCCTATTGTGTTAGAATGGTTGTTTTGTTTAGATGCAGGGGGGCGTGACTTAAGGCACTTACACACTAGCATCGGCTCCACTCCGCCTGGACTGGCAGAGTGGGTTGTGAGTGTTCTCATTTAGGCAGCCCTGGATTTTCCCGCGCACAACCAGATGTTTTTTCAGTCCTCTCCCTGAGGTGGTATGCCTGGAGCCAGACTGGTCCAACGCACTCACTGCCGTCTGATTGGCTGGCTCAACATCATGCATATCGATTGGCAGATACATATATATATATATATATGTATATATATATATATATATATATATATATATATATATATATATATATATATATATATATATATATATATATATAGATGGCTGGGCGGGCGGGCGGGCGGATAGATAGATAGATAGATAGATGATAGATAGATGATAGATAGATAGATAGATAGATGGATAGATAGATGGATAGATAGATGGATAGATAGATAGATAGATAGATAGATAGATGAAAAGACAGTAAAGTGTTCTCTAACACTTTAGAAAAACTTGTTCTTTACTGATAATTTTTGGTAGTAAAGGTGTAGCATTAGTCACGCATGTGTCGACTCAAACCTTTATCAGCTCAGCTGGAAAAATAGGTAAATGTTGCAAATTATGTGAAATGTTGATCATTTAAAAGTCACGGAATTTGCATAACAATGATTTTTCCACCTGTATTGTCTTGTATTGTTGTGAGGTAAACTCTTAACATGTACGCATATTTCACTCACTGTGAATTACTCTCTTTGGCCAAATATATTTGTTTTATTCAGATTTACATTTAAAGTTGCATCTTCACTTTAGACAACTCGCAAACCTCTGTGATCATTTTAAATTTCAGCATTTCAGATATTTACAAACATCAATAATTTATAAATTAAAGAGTTTAGACTCCACCCTCCGGCGCTGGCTCTCCGGCAGGTGAATTAAATCGGTCAGTTGTTTGACCAAGTATGTCTTTCCAGGTATGACCCAAAGACGGACACGTGGACCACCGTGTCCTCTCTCAGCGTCCCCCGGGATGCGGTGGGGGTGTGCTTACTGGGCGACAGGCTCTACGCTGTGGGTGGCTACGACGGCCAGTCATATCTCAGCACCGTCGAGTCCTACGATGCACAAAATAACGAGTGGACTGAGGTAAATAAAACAGTTTATGGGGTGTGAACACTTTTTATGAGAATTATGATGAAATGAAACCACTGCAATGCAAATTCACTTTTAGATACTGAAACCTCTGACATTTAAAGTGATTCAAGTGGAATTGTAGCAGTTCTGCAAGAGCAGCCTCCCTGTAAGATAAAGGCTGTGGTTAACCTCCCCCAGGAACATAAATCTGTTGAAGTTACTGAAGCCTGTTAATATTTTACACCAGCTCTTCCTTCTCTACCGAGTTTCTTTTTTCTCCCCAATCTTGGCAGTCTAACCTTCTTATCTGCATTGAATGAAATGAGAGTTTTGAGCAGAGCCTCAGATGAAAAGCTGCATGCCAACCTCTCCGTCTTCCTGCAGGAGGTCCACCTCAACATCGGAAGGGCAGGCGCCTGCGTGGTGGTGGTGGTGAAGCTGCCTTGAGCGTTTTCCTCTCGCGGCAGCATGAGAAACAAACGAGAGAGCTGCGACGAGGGCCGGACAAACAAAACAACAGATTGAGGACACATCCTCTGAGAGTCGTATTTTCTTTTGTTTCCCTCCTTTAACTCGGCTGTGCAGATTTTTCAGGGGAAACGCAGACATGCACCATTGTTTCTGTCATTAGTGGACGAGTCTGCCCACTGGGTAGGACTTGAAGGACTGGAATGCGCTGCACATTCTCCACATTCTCACCCGATTAAGAATTTCCATGGACTTGGCGAAGACATTGAAAGTCGCTGCCAAGGATTGGCTGTGCTGCTTTGATGCACTACTTTTATGAAACTTTATGTGAATGTCCTCGAAATTTAATGTCACGTTTTCAGTAAATCAGCCATGTTACTTTACAGTCCTGCACAAGCATTTCTAATCCTGGCCTACCGTTGCAGTATATTCTTTTGTGACCCTTTGTATCTGCTAAATAAAAATATTTTCTATAGGAGTGGTCTGAACACATTGACCACCACGATGAAGACTGAGGATGAGGAGCTTTCCCTGGCTGGTTTGATGAACAGGGGATTAGATAAACTAATCTGAGCTTGTAGCGGCAGAACACCAAAGTCATCCACTTGTCCTCGACGTCTTGTTTCGCATTAAATAAAGGTTTACAAAGTTGTGAATTACAGAAGAATATATCATATTGATATTTCACAACGCTGTACAGGTTTATTTTGTTGTTAGTGTTTGAGGGATCATTTACTGGATGCTAGCTAAGACACCTGAACTCCAGAGCACTTTTTACATTTCTAGTTAGATGTTCTGCTTCTAAAACTGAAATGTTATTTGTTCGTTCACAACAAAAAAAGAAAAAGTTTGTAACTGTATTAACGCCATGTTAATGGGGCCAAATGCAACTTTTTATGTTTTTATCATAATTTTGTACAGCATGAGAACAAATAAAGAAAATAACTTGACTTTCTGCACCATCTGATCCATGGAGTTGTGCTCCTGCGGGAGTGTGCGGTTGTTCTTAAACCAAACTGAGCCCACGAGCAAACGGACCTAGATGTCAGCATTAACTGCAGCTGTGTTCCCTCTGTAGAATCCTCTCCTTAAACCAAGATGGATGTATGCTGATATATTTCTCTACTTTGCTGCTCTCCCAGCAGCAGACTGAGGACCAACTGCTTCTGTTTGCCTTTCAGTTTGATCATTGTTTATCTTCCAAATTCCAAATAGTCCCTCCACCCTCCCCCACGCAGTTTGGTAGGATTTTGGTTGTTTCTGCTATCAAAATAGAGAATTATGGGCCCACACATAAAAATTTAATTCAGAATTCTGCTGAAAAACAATTTTAAACAATACTCTTTTCCAGAGTTCAGATCTCACATTCAGTGTTTAAATCTTATATCCATTTCTACCTGAAGCAGTTGCTAAACACTTCCACTCTTTCCCATTCGTGTCTATGGTTGTCTCATTTAGATTCACCTGTTGTTGCCCGATCCATTTCCACGTCTGTTAGATCACTTTGCCAAGTCAGACGTCAACAGCTTGAGCTGAAATCATTCAGAGCAACAGAACGCAGCTTTGGACCATCGTAAAGTTAAATGCATCAGAATTTAAGGACTGATACTGTTTACAAAAAACAAACAAACAACAACAACAAAAAAAAAACCTTTGAATTGCTAAACACAGCTAGATGAGCTCACAGCAAGAATAACTGATATCTTACCTGCTTTTTGAACAGCCTCAGTTTGGAGAAACAGATGTGTTCTGAACTGATTGAGTTCATAGCTAGTCCAAATACAAGCTTGTAAATGTAGCAGTTTATTCAAACAATTTATTAACTTACATCACTGCCAGTTCTGTCATTGCATTAGAGATCTCATCTTTTGAGAAAATGCACACAGGCCAAAACTGCACTGCAATAACTGATTTCTAAGAAGGTAAAAATGCCACATTTTTAGACATTTTGTCTAACTTTTGGTCTAAAAGAAAAATGACTCTAGAAAATTGCATTACTTACAATTTCTCTTGTTTTAAGTAAAAAAAAAAATCTGCCAGTGGGGTAAGCAAAAGTTGCTTGTCTAGAATTCTTAAAACTAACAAAGTGATCTCAATTTAGGTTATTTTGTTAATGGATCCTGCAGGTCATATTTTTTTAAATAGCTTAGAATAATAAAATAATAATCCAAGTTTGTGTTAGGATTGTGACGTTGTATCCTCATCCACTGTATTCCACATACTACTCTAATGGAGACAATAAACAGAACTGACTGATTTTGATTCTACAAAGACAATCTAATTGTTAGTCTTCTATAAGTGAAGTAGATCAATCATTTTATTAGTAGATTTAATCGTTTCTGGTCTCTCGATCTAATACGTACATTTTAGTGTTTTTCACTAAACCCGCCAGTTAGAGACTCCCCCTAATGGTAGGCGTGAATTTGAGCCCGCCAATCAGTCGTCAGTACGTGTGTTGGGCCAGTTTAGCCTGATGCAAGCCGCTTTGGAAAGAGGGCTGAAAAAGCTACCGGCTGAGCACAGACAAAAACCAGACTACCCAGATGTGAACACTAAACCATACTTGAGCGGAGTAGAGCCGGCCCTGATGTGAACGCGGCTTTTGACAGGAGGTTAGACAACATGCTGCCCCACAACATTTTGGTCTAACACTTTGTATAGTCAGGAACTCGTATCTAATCACACTTGGACTCAGGGACGAAATTTTGATTTCAGAAGTGGGGGGGACAAAGCAGGCTTGTGCGGATTTGGGGTGGGGGGTGTTATGTAAAGACCCCTTGACACGTCACGTGCCCATCTCAATAATTTTTCCATCCTCAATATATATATATATATATATATATATATATATATATATATATATATATATATATATATATATATATCAAAGTTAAAAAATGTACAACTCTATTATTATTTTTATTTATTATCATTATTGAAGTGCAGTTTTGGCTGTTGACAATGGATAGGCCATTGTATTTATTGTTTTGGGTCTTTTTTTATTGTTTTTGGTGCAACATTTTCTAACAGGGAGTGAGATTCCTTTTTTATTTAATTTTTGTTTGTTATTTTTATTCATTTAGAAGTTCTGGTTCTGGACATTTCAATGTTAAATGAAGGTTTATTTGTTGCATTTTAAAGGGTGTACTTGCATTATTATGATATATTAACATTATATTAGTGGTTATTTTGGTCTAGATAATGTTGGCAATGATATCGTTTATCATCAACAATTTGTTGGACAAAATATCGTCCAGCAAAATTTGTTACTTTCCCAGGCCTAGTCAAAAGTATAAAAATTATTTATACATAAACGGTCCCTCCTGAGATCTGGCCGTTTGTTCATTTGTTGTGTTAGAGGACATGCTGAACTAATGTTTTACACATGATCATCACCCTAACATTTGAGTGTATAAAAACATATTAAATGTTTTTTTCCCTTAAAAGTGTTTAAACAGTTGTTGCATTTCAACACACAAAAAATAAAAGGAAAAAATAAGATAAATCTAATGAAAAGTGTACATCTTTGACATTAAGCTTAAAAAATCTGTTGACGATGATGATACTGTTCATTTTTCAGAGCTTTTTAATGTGAAAATATACATTGCAATAGATAGGTTTACAATAAAGTTAAATGATAAAAGTTTTGAAGTTACACTTCTACTACTACTACTACTAGTAATAATAATTATGATGATAATAGTAATAATAAAAATAATAATAATTATAATAATACGAATAAATTGTGTCTGAGGAGTCAGTTATGTGGAGGAGATGAGTTTGTAAAAGTTAGTTTTGAGTATGTTTGTGAAGGAGGAGGTGAGTCTGAGCTTAATGCAGGTCTGTCACATGTTCCAACTTACGTTTTGACTTTGAAAGAAGTCTCTTATATCCACTTTTCGTTTTCTTGACATGCTGCCTCCTGGCTGTGCCTAACTACCAAAGACTCACAAATGAACACTTATTCAAATGTTATGTAATGGAAGCTGAGCTGAGCTCTGATATTACACAGCGTCTAGTTGACGATGTGACTCAGTACCGGTGTTCCCTAGCGGCTCCAAACTAGCAAAACAACGTGAGCACGTTCTGACTGTTTACAACTTGAGTGACAGCAGCAACAGCCAATAATATGTTAGCAAGTATCAGCAAAGCCAATAAATTAGATTTTAGGCGGGTCTAATAGTAAACCGGTTTCCGTTTCGGTCCTAGTGCTCAACCAAATCCATTTAATGGAGCGTAACATTGTTTTTGGACGGAAAAAAGTGCAGGGGACCAAAACTGCCTTTTGAAAAAGTGGGGGGGACATGTCCCACCCGTCCCCCCCCAAAATTACGTCCCAGCTTGGACTTACACTTGCAGTAGTAAATTTTACTACAACAGCAGTAGCTTAGGAGGTAGAGCGGGTTGTCCTGTAATAGGAAAGTTGTGGGTTCAATCTTGGCTCCAGACAGAGATTTCTGCTGTTGTGTCCTTGGGCAAGACACTTAACCCGCTTTGCCTGGTGGTGATGATCGGAGGGACCGGTGGCGCCAGACTTCGGCAAACCTCGCCCCTGTCAGTGTGCCCTAGGGCAGCTGTGGCTACATTGTAGCTCATCATCACCAGTGTGTGAATGTGTAGATGACTGATTGTGTTGTGAAGCGCCTTGGGCAGTTGTCGCATCCTAAGAAGGCGCTATACAAAAATGGGCCATTTACCATATAAGGAATATAAAAAATAATAATTTGCTGCAGGACGTAAACATATTGGTTGTTGGCCAAGAAAAATGTTTCAGAAGGCAAATTGCCTGCAGGTCACATTTTGGACACCCCCGCTTAAATCTACTAGTATAATCTGGAGTCATTCTTGTAGTTTAAAATCAGCTTTTTTATCTTAAACTGAAGACAGCTGCATCTCCAATTAAAGCTTTCATTAAACTGAATTAGACAATGACATCAAATTCTGGTGTAAACTACTCTTACATGTGACCTACGTGTGTTTATATATATATATATATATATATATATATATATATATATATATATATATATATATATATATATATATATATACTGTATATATTTAAAACAAAATAATAATAAATAAATAAATGTTTATAATTAAAAAAATACAATTTTCAAAGCAACAATGGTTTGTGATTGCATGCATGCATGAGTGAATGAATGAGGTGTTGTAAAGCACCTTGGGGGTTGTATAACTATAGACAGTGCTGTGTGAGTACAGACCATTTACCATTTACACTTCTCTAAACCAAACTGTGATTAAATCTGACTTCCTTCTCACATCCCAGAGTTGTCACATAATCATTAAACTGTTTCCAGTCTCTGTCTGACAACGACTTTATGAGCTATAGTGGCCTTCATCATCAGAAATAAACTGATTTATTTTCCATAATCTGAAAAATCCCCACAGTTTTTAAAATTTAAATTAAGACTGGTATTTTTTTCACATAAAAAGCGAACAGTCGGTTCATTTTTTAAATCACTTGATCAAATCAAAACTATTTCTTCTTCACTGATTTCTCTTTTGAAATCTTAAAAGGTGAAAGAATAGACCTTCCTGATAAAAAAAGTCCTCCTGGAAGAAAATAGAAATGTGTGATTTGTGATTTAATATGTAATGAAATGATTAAAAAGGGATTGATCAGTCCCATCATACATCTGGGAAGATAAAACTAGATAGGATAACCTTAGTCTGAATCACCACCAGGATTCTCCTGCATGGTGATGTAATCATGTCAGAGATTATCAAGAGAGGGTGCTGTTGCACCGCAGAGGACGAGCCTCCCACCGCAAACCGCAGATCTAAATCTCTAATACCATCACTGTTCATAAAAAATGTCAACCAGCATTAAGAATGCCAAGGACAAATACTTGAGCTATTAACCCTGCATAATTTTTGAGACAAGATGATGAAATGTTGGGAAATTGGATGTTAAAGCATTTTGTTC